TCAATTAAATCTAAATTACAATAAATAAAGAAGTTGATAGAAGATGAGGAAAAATTACCAATCACAACAAATCAACGTTATTCTATCCTGGCTGGATAGATCACACACAACAGGAGGAACAAATCAATATGGCTACCGCCAAGAACAAGTGTCAAGTAAAACAACGCAGATGCAGTTCAGGAAGAAACACAAACTTAGTGAATGCGTAATAAAAACAAAAACTATAACAAAAATACAAATATTAACAATTCAAATGTAATCAAAATACAACAATGTACAACTAATGCGATCAATAGGAATAAAGTACAAGTATATACATGGAGGGATTTTCACCAACACATAAAACCTTCAAAATGGATCTTACAGACATCCCCTGTTGAGAAAATAACTCGTTTTATTTTACAGAACACTGAAGGGCAGAAGTGTATCTAAGTAGCACTAATTGGCTCGCTAACTTATACGCTTCCTTGAATGGTGAGACTATAATTTATGGACGAATCAATGGAAACAAGAATAGCAAGTCTTGAATTTTGGCGAGAAACTCATTAATCCACAAACTTAATTCTCATTTTAGGATTATAGCTGATACCAGTCCTTGATGAGAACCCTCGTCTGAATCAATAACCTTGAATTTCAACAAATAATCTCATATCCCAGTTCCTCATGATATTCAACAAACCTGCTTTCACCAAAGAAAGTACATGAGTTGTCTTTAGGTCACTTGAGCGTCTCTCAAGGTGGTTCATAAATTAGCGTGAGAATGTTATTATTTATTACTTTATATCTTGCAGCTGAACAAAATATTTGCTCTGTTTTGGGTGTCTTCTACTTAAGGATAATAGCAGTATTATTGCAACATCTGGTTTCAATACAGCTTCTGTAGACCTGGAAGTTACTTTTCAAGACGGTTCTACTGTATGCAACGGAAATTTGAAGTATTACAAAAGACATCATCCAGAAGATGCTAGATTTTATTAACAGCCGCCCACGCAAAATACTTCGGATCCGTTGGCCGAAAACTATCAGCAACCATCTACTATGGGAGAAAACAAATCAGAATCCGGCGGAGGAACAAATCTGGAAGAAGCGCTGGAAGTAGGTAGTAAAAATATGGGAAAAAGCACTCAACTGCATCACAAAGCAAGCCCTCACGTGGATCTATCAAGGGAAGAGGAGAATAGGAGGATCAGAGAATACATTGCGCCAAGAAAATGAAACAGGTATGAGAAAAATGAACAGCAATTGGATAGAATCAGAAGAGAAGCCCAGGACAGAGTAGATTGGGAGTAACAGACCTAGTTGAATGAGAATTTAGCTATTCCACACCTTCTACACCTGAGTATAATTCAAATGTGGCTTTAAATAATTTTAACGAGTAAGTGAATGAGGTATGTCGCAAATGCAGGTCAAATACAATCTCCATATTCATCAGCGAATTAAAGGACATCGTAGTGAACGTTTGAAAAATATATACATAATTTTTAAAGACGCCACTACATTCACCATTGGATCAACGATGAGAGTCATGTTTCATTTCAAAACTCGATAACACATTTGTTTAACAGAAGTGATACAGTCCAATATAACTCACTACGGGTCTTCAGAGCAACAGGTATTCTCACGAATATTAAACTCCAATTGTTACTCATCAAGAAATTATCACATATATAATACAGCCAAATTCACCTTTTAGTAGACTAGTTTGAAAATGAAAGGGATTTAGTAGGCGCTCCAATTTTAAAAAATAACGTTCTCGTGAGAAATTTAATGTACATATGTTTGAATGCCAGGATATTAACCAAAGTTTAGGGAAACCCTAGGAGATGACTTGTAACTGATGCCTCAGGTATTGCTACTGCAGATTTTCAATGTCTATTATAATTTTTTCATTGACTGCTTCAAGCGAAGGCTTAAACTCACTCGCCTGCAATACAAGAATTCTGGATTCGGTGTCGACGGCTGACCAGGACATCATCAAAAGTCAACAAGACTCTTGCTTACGTTTATCGAGCTTCTTACTCAGCATTTCGACCAAACAAATGCTGAGCATTTATCATTACCTATTAATATCGAGGTTTTGATGTTATGCTCCCAGAAATTAACGATTGTTTGGCACCATGTTTTGATAAACGGTCGAGGACGCGAAATAAATTAAAAGACGAGATTAAGATGAACTTGTAACTCAGTGGACTTTCTTGAGCACACCACGGACTGGAACTAAACACTATCTGGGAAGCAAGACAGCATATAACATATAGCATACAATGTAGATATAACTGGCATCCATAAGCATATATCAATCGACAACCGAGACTCCATTGAATGTCCATGAATCCTACGTTCGAAATGAGGGCATTAACAAGTCCGCTTCACATAGGTGAGAAACCAGTTAAGGTGGCGATGCGATCAGGGCATCGGACAAACTCGAGTAAAGGTGGTAGTATTATTATTACGAATATCCACGTTAGTCAGTGAATTTTCTCCAAAAACGTTTCAGGACAGCTTTTTAAACACAATAACCGCATCCTCGTTACATCTGGTTGTGCTCAAACGGCCAACACTATTCACCTGTGAACTGTTACAAACAACAAGCTATCCTCATAGTGCTTCTACATATGACAGTATAGGTGGAAAATTAGATGACTTCCATTTGATTCTCCCCTGTTCTATTATGCGTAAATGACAAACTATCGTGCAGTGTGATGTATCTTTCAGATGGCAGTTCTGAACATCAAGTCCCCTATAAGTAAGAAAAATGGTCATGATATTCGAAGCAATCAGTCCCTTTCATAAATTCGGATAGCGTAATAAGAATAGGAAGATTATCAGAACTATGCAAGATATTAGCGCAATGCATTCCGAACAATCTGATCACGTATATTCTTGTTAAGAAAATTTGCATATAAAAATAAAGGTTCAACTAGACTGGGAATGGAGGGTGAGTGGAGACAAAGATAATAAAGAAAATAATATGAAAAACTACTTGAAGCCTCATCACGCTGCATAATAAACTAATATTACCAGGGCAGGTTTAAAATGAGAACAAACGTTTTTGAATACATAGAGCATGTTTCAATTTTCATATGATTAAGGCTTCAATAAACCTTAGAATACATCCTTTTACACTTTTTTACAACACCACAAAATCCGTGTTAAGATCAATTTTATTACCCGTTCCAAGCACGTGTCTGGCAATAGAGAATGATGGATGTTTATCATCTACTATTATTGGATCATTTGATTTTATTTGTTCATGCAACCACTTACGTACATGTTCGCACACCCTAATTCGGAGATCACGATTACTCCTCCACATGTATGTGTGGCCACACACATATTCAAATTGATAAACACAGTGGCACGTGGCGCAGTCGTTTTCATAACTTTTACGTTCTTGCTGAGTCATGGACCTTGTTTTCTCCTTCATTACGACCTTTACTGCGTAATATGTCCTGTCAACAACTTATTTGAATCACCTCCAAACCGAAAACTGACGTAGACAGGTTCCTTTCTGCCAAGGTTATAGTACGTCTCAATATACCGTGACATTTCCATCTATTTATGAATTTTAGGGGGTAGCCAGTTTGCATTAATGCTTTGTTTAACAACCTAACGTCGTCATCAATAGCATCGTTTGTGCAAACACGATTAATCCCATTAGACAGACTGCTCACCGGACCTCGTTTGTATTGCACTGGGCAGTAACTATTGTGACTAAGGTATTGGCCCGTCCACGTTGGTTTTTTAAAGACGGGTGAGCGGATCTCTTTTGGGGTACTTTACTTCGTGTTAGACCTTTCAGCCTGTGGCATTGAAAAACTCGATGCAATACTCAACAAGATATATGAAACCTACTGGGACGCTAACTATAAAACATCATAGCCCTATTGTGTTTACGAAAAGGTAGTTCATTACAGAAAAAAAGCATAGAATTTACGTCGCGACCTCAAAAAGACCACTTGCTTCAATGATAATGATGTATATCCCAAAAATAATTTCAAGTTTGATCATGTTATGGAAAATGAAACAATACAAGCATAAAGTGCTTTGCAACCCGCCGTTTTATTTACACTATCAACGTACACGATGTGTCGGAATCGGGACTTTCGATGTCCATAGGTGAGCCTCCAGACTAGGATGGGACAGCCACCAATGTTACCTGGTTTAATGGCTCTGCGGTACAGCGGACCTCAAGATTATAAGTTTATACAAGGTTTACACCAAGATTATGACTTCGCACTACTAGAGGGATCAATAAATCAAGGTAAAGTATAGAACCAAGTCCCTGGTGCACTTAGCTATACCACTAGAACGAAAGGTAATTCTCATATCATAAACTTGCCATACTGAATACCCAGGCTACAAGATCTTATGTAGAAGTTGCATTATTCTCTATACTTATTTGTTCTGCCGTTAGTTAGTAATATGCTGTTTATGAACCTTTTTAGAACACATATAGTTTGGGGAGTAGAATAATATATTTGATTCAAAAAGGTTGAGGTCACGCAGAATGATCAAGTCCACATGGCCGAGCAACGATATTTCGATTAAGTGTCTTTGTGGTTATATATTCTGACTCTTCACAGTTGTCCAAAGGCTAATCTTCATGTTTAGCTTCAAGGATCATGCAGCTACTATGTGCTGATCGGTACCAGTCGGCAGTTAAACTGGCCAATATTATGCACACAAACAACAAATACGTTTCACAAGGCTTTTACATCATTAGCTAGGTATTCAGTTCGCACTGTTGAAAATGTTAAGTGATTTAAGAATAATGAGCAAATAGACGCACGAGTTAGTAGTGTGAAATATATTCATCATTTTTAGGTTCAAATGTCGCCACCAAGTAACCGGAGTCAAAATTAATTAGTCAAGAAATATAAGAATTTATGTTGATATAAAAGTTCGCCAACTCTAAAAAAATAAATCCTATTAAAAACACTATTTACAATCAGTAAAATGCAAAACATGGTTAATATATATGTACTGTAAAAGTCATGTTATGAATTCGAGGGAGCGACTGAATCTTCAAGATCTGTTATTGCCCATGGATAATCAGTAGACGAACCATCAAAAGCCAAATCTACGAAAAATAAAAATATTGTAAAGGACTTGTAAACAGACTGAGTTAAAGTAAATAGCTTTCTGTAAAAACTTTTTGATACGTTGATCTTTCCAAACTTATTACCACTACAGCTAATCCCTATATGCATACTGAAAATTTAAGTACGGTTAAAAAGTTAATCAGTTAGGTCCCTTGAAAAATAATATTCTACAGTGTGGGCAACCGCGAAAGAAACAACTGTCATCAAACCCCTAACGATATTCAAAACTACCTTGAACAAGATCGAATCCCTTCGCCACCTCATAGTAATTCTCCTGTCCCTATGACGTCATTTCCCTACGACCTTATCACGACGTCCCATCAGTGCTTCACCAAGTCAATTTGAAAAGTTTGTGAGATTTACCCTTTGTGTATCTGGGGACCTGACTAATGCTTATCATGACCTCACTAACGTAAGTGTAAAGCTAGTTTTCAAAGCAGAACAGGCTCTCAGGGACTACAGTCCGAGAGTCAGTCTCTTACACGCCGTGCAACTAAATGGGAAGGTAGAAATTCAAAATAGGGACGGATGCCGTTCTCTTTCAGAAGGTTGAAACCCCAAACAAAAAACGATGACAGGTGATTTTAATGCCCAACCAAGCAAGCAGTCTATACTTAACCGGAAGTCATTTTAGTATTAATGTATTGCAATTCAGTATAAATATAGTGAGTACTGAGTCCTTCAACTATGTTCAGTTAAACACGCTTTTCTAGCAAGCATCAACCTGCAAATAAGAAATCGAATCGTCTGACATGGCAACTCCACAATCGACCCACAGACGGATGCAAAAAATTATTGTAATGAACAAAGACTTGGTGCGGAAAACCGGTTTACTGTTTTGTGAAAAACCAAACTGCCTTCGTAAAATATGAAATCTCCCAATCCTGTTGCTATCCATCTTCTGTTAATTTAAAGCACATACGTCTGTCCACACCGCATCATGTTGCCCAAAGCCGTCGTTAGAGATGCTTAGTGGATGACTGTCATCCATTCTAGAACATATGTCTAGACTCTGACCATGTTCTAGTATGAGCACGCATTTGTATGCATCGTACTGAACGCAGAAGAGTCAGAGCAATAAGACTAGAGTTTAACTTAACGACGTAAATGTCAAGAGTATATTTTATAAACAGCTAGGTGGAAAATTAGTCAATGTTTACTCCAGATACCAAAACACCTGTAGAAACGGAAGATCTACTAGCAGCTTCAACCAAAAGGGTTGGAGAGATTAGTAGAATATAGTTGCGCCCAATGAATTAATCGTTGCTAGGATCTTCGACACGAGTGGTAATATCGGGATGATTTTCAACACCAAGGTACCGCATAAAAAGAGAAAGTAGTTATACTCGTAGTCTTGACGTAGGTCAAGTCATACCAGGTCCAAAATCGATGGAGAAATGGAATTATTGAAGAAAGAATGGGAAATATTTTGTACAAAATGTGCGGGGCGCTTAGAACTCTGACCAGAAATACAAACTAAATCCAGAAAAATAAGAGGACAAGGAACACGGAAGACATGCAGGTGAATCTACCACTGGAGATAATAAATGATACTTCAATGGCGGAAACGTCAAAGGACACCATAAAGAACAAAAGAATGAAGAAGGGGATAATAAAGACACTAAAAAAGATGGAATGCAGCCACAAGCCAGTTATCAAGGTACCAGCAGACCCCAAAGGAAACTCTGACTTCGAGGCGTTCGGACGGCTCCCACAAAGCGCAACAAAGCCCCAGAGGCTCTAAAAATCCCAAAGGAATTCCATCCAACCAGAATCCGAAAGAAATTTCTGGAATATCGAGGTGGTATGCCCCGGGACGACCGAGGGTGGGGAGAATCAGCTCTCTCTCTCTCTTGAAACGCTCTGACATGACCACGAGCATACAACCATTGCCAGGGAGGTTCTACTTACTGTCTTTTCGCAGTGGGGGTGTTGTTTACGAAACTGGGAGGATGAAAAGTGAATGTCCAGCGTTTTAACTGGGTTGGTGGATACGGAGGGTCCACCTAAAAGAGTTAGAAAATCCTGATTCCAAACCAGTGGTGAACAAGGGCTCCAGGATCCTGAAGGAACAAATGGCGTACGGGACAGTTACTGGTCACAAAATACCAGGGGACTGCATCTCCTGACGTTGCTCCACTGCCTTGTGGATTAGACCTTTAGGTTAAGGGCTCCGGGTGTGGCCCCCAAAGAAAATCACCTGTTTCAATCTGGGCACCCGGGCAGTATTACAACCCAAACATAAACAAAATGACGATAATTACTGAAAATGTTATTCTCGCCTCGATTAAAAGTCCGACAATTCATATTCGATATTTTTTATATACAACGTCACTTATCCACTCTCTAGTATTCCCCCTTTAAGTATCCTTATTTTTCAACTTACACAGCAGCTCGCTTATGGTGAAAACTCTGTTCTATCTAAACGATTTCAAATCACTGATTAGTCGAAAATTCAATACTACCACCGAATACGAATACTGAAACAGTCTTTCTGAAACCATGTGTACCATTCAAACTGGCTGTTTTCAACGTTCGCACACTTGTGCAGATTGGACAACAGAAGAGGTTGGCTATGTCTTTAGAGTCTCAATATAGACGTCTGTTGTCATTCGGAGACCCATATTCAAGACTCTAGTGAAGTACTACAAATTCGCTCTCCAACTGTCGCTTTGAAAAGTTTGTATTAGGTGAGTTAATCCGGGGACCCTGTGGCATCGTATGGTTTTGCTGGCGTTAGGGTCGTATTAAGAGCTCGAGATGAAACAGCACTAATCGATTAGATCCCCATTAACAGTCATTTATGTGCTGTTAGATTAGAAAGTTTCATCAAAGATGAAATCGGTGCGAAAAACGATGTCATTTCGTCATCTCTACCTATGCTCCGACAGATTGCAACCAGTATGCGATCAAGTATGAGTTTTACCACCAGCTAACAGTTCATCTACAAAAAGTGCGTTCGACAGATATTGCAGTATTAGCCGGAGATTTGAATGCTCAGGTCGGACGTCTAGGCACAACAGAGAGTCGTCTAGGTGGCCAATGGGGACTTGTTGGTCGCAGGACAGATAACGGGGACCGTCTACTGCAACTATGCACAGACCACAACCTGTTTCTGGCTAGCACTAACTTTCGGCACAGTCATCGCCGATGTGCCACCTGGCGTCCTCCATCTGCATCCCAAGCCTGGACTCAGATTGATCACATCGCGATCAGCTACCGCTGGAGTGGTTGTGTACAAGACTTCCGCTCCTTTTGGAGTACCTATCTGAACTCTGATCATGCCCTTGTTTAAGTTAATCTTACCTTACTTCTCAGTGGTCAACAAATCCATAGTCCTAAACGGATCGGAGTCAGTAAATAAGTTGCAGCTTCTCTTGCAACTCAATATCAAACCGAGCTAGGTTCAAGGGCAGCTAACGTTCCACCGAAAAAAATTTTGTGTGGTGCATATGTATTTGATGCCCCTTTGTACCAATATTTATGTGTTCAAATAAATAAAATGGTATAAATAAACAATTTCATATAGTAGTGAATTGGCTGGATCAAAATTGTTATAGCCCACACCAAAAAACTACAAGTACACCTTTTTGTACATCTTCGACACTTAATAAAAACTTCTCCTGCTTTTTTGTGTCTTTTTTCGACTTTGAAATTGTGGGTTCTGCGTGTTTGTGTACTGAAGCCGAATACCGTATTAGCCGTAATCAAGTAGAGGATGTAACAGTTTAAATAACTTTTCTATCATAATATAATGGTTCAGGACGAGATGAGAGCTGGAAAACCTAGTGACAAATCTGGATGACCCACGAGAAACATCGACTCAACAAAAACTTATCACATAAGTTGTCTCCAAAGATTTTACCATGCAAGTTTAGCTTAATTAAATAAAGCGAGATAATGATTAATTTCAGCTGACCATCTTCAAGGTGTAAAACACTCAACAATAAGAATCAATTATTGAAGTGAAATCGACATTTAGTTAGTTCAGAGTTTAGTCACGGAGATTAGTTAGTAACCAACCAGAAGACTGATGAATAAAATACTACACCGTGACTTCCTTTTAATTTCAAATATCATACTTGTTAGTATATAATTTAGTTTGCAACCAAAACAATCTTATTAAGGCTAGTAATTAATTTTCTTACATTTATCTAACAATATGATAAAAAGGAATGGATAAAAGAAAAAAACCTTATGCATTGTTTTGACTTACTATCTGAATATTTAGTTTTTGGTTGTACATAAAACTGTTCACGATTAAATACTCTAATCTCTCCAGATTCCAGTTGAACCTATTGTGAAGTAGAAACAAATTACTGAACAAATTGAAACTATGGGAAAAGCTATGAGAATAATATGAATTAATCAAAAATAAATAAATGAGATATCTTTTTTCATAAGTTGAACAACAACAACAAATATATATTTAATGTGCTTACTTGACTACTGATTGTCATCTTAATACCGAAAAGAATAAATACTCGAAATAGACGACATAAAAAACTAATCTGATTTCCATAGATTAGACACAGGAGATGAATTCATTAAACTTTCTGTTGTAAAATATATTCCAAAAAAAACACTAAAATTGTTATCAAACAATTGCAGTTACACATCATAAACCGAAATTCCGTCATTTGATAAGTTGTGTGTTGTTATAATAAATTGATCCAATCCAGACAGATAGATGAGAGGGATGAATTGATACAAAGTAAATAAGTGATGAATGATTCAGAGACCGAATTACTGAACACGAGCCCTCAAATTGAACTGATATCAGAAAACAAGACAGATGACCAGCAGAACAGGTGTTTTCTTATTAAGAAAATAACACGCTCCTATACACAATAATGAACACAAAAGTATGATTATAACTCATTTAATAAATTAGCGGTTGGCGGTTACAAGCATTATAGGTTATCCAATCACCAACGGAATTAATGCCTGAATATTAAGCTTACTTTATTGCAGTCACATTACATCATGGATCGATACAACAGACATTAATTTTATTCGTATCAACACATTCACTGTAGATTTAATTGATTCTACATCGAAATCTGATTTTTAAACATCTCTCTACTGAAATTATTTCTTCAAATATATGAAAAGCCGCAAACGATGTACAACGTTAAAGAAAACCGAATCGGACGAAACTCCGTGTGATTTTCTTTATCTGTTCTATAAAAGTGGAAATATTTGTTTAAAATGAAAATATTATCGTGAACGAAAAATCAGATACGCTAAACTAATTTATTGTTACATGCAAAATTACACAGTGCCTTTACAAAATATGAAAATCATACATCAAATAAATTATTTTTACATCTTCCTTCAGTTGTGCTCTACGTACTTCTTTATTCTTTCAATTCCGTTGTTATTCCGATTTCTCATCAGTTTCCTTCCTTTTCTCCTTATTTCACTAGATGCGAAACGTTTTTGGTGCTGAGATGACATCGGATTTAGATGGCCCAAAAGGTCAATGCGACATTCCGACGAATGGCGTGGCACAGACTGGGACAACCTAGAAAGCGGCACGTCGAGCAGATTGACCGCAAGTGACCTTCTTTTGAAAGCGGGATGAGTGTGGTGTACGCTACGTATTTTGACATATTTTGGTAGTATACAGCAACAATCGGAAGTGGGATGCTTGCCAGCAAAACATTTAATTAAAGAGAAGAAAAAGCGAAACAGAGAGCAACCGGAATAACAAAAGAATTGAAAGAATAATGAAGTATGTAAAGGACAACTGAAGGAAGATGTACAGATAATTTAATGTATGATATTCATATTTTGTAAAGGCACTGTGTAATTTTGCATATAACATTATATTGGTATAGGGTATCAGAGTTTTCGTTCACGACAATATAATACATAACATGTTTATTGAAGGTGCATTCAGTATGAATAAACAATAAAATGATAGATTTTTATCCAAGAACAGCTAGCAAGCTAATAGGACGATAAGTGTTCACTAATAGAAAGTGGATGCTCTTGAAAATATGTTCAGTGTTACTTGAAGCAGCTGGTGAATAAATACAAAGCATAACTAAACTAAATTCCAACATAAATGTTTTTATTCTCTCGATCACGAGACACCACTCTATAATATTGAATTGTTTGTTAATGAAATTTATTCTTAATGTGTTGTCTAGTATATGTATAAATACAAATATTGTTATTTGCTGGAAGGTTGCCTAACATCATCAAAACATTTATGATTCTTTCGTTCATATGAGTTTGATAATAGAAGCAAAAGAGTACTGGATGGTTTTTAAAGTAATATTCACAACCTTTTGTATCCCAAGTCCACTGATGATATCCAGACATGTGAAACTGTTAAATATTGATAAAAACGAATACAGATTGGGACTTCCAGATGACCTACAGTGAGTTCAATTTATGAACAATTAAGAATCCTCCAGCATGAACACAACGAATAAATTCAAATAGACCAGACGTCTGGGCAGGCAATCACATTACAACTTTTACAATCTACCCACCAATATGAGATAGAGGAAGTGGTACTTCTAGGAGAGATTTACATTTCGAACAAACGTCGAAAACTGAACAACTGTTTATACAGTAACATGTAATGACTCTGGAGCACTTAACAACGTTAGTAAACTAAAAAACAATAACAATCAGTCAGATAACAGGAAAGGTCGTTGTGAAAATATGAATTAGGGAAAATGTCATCGGAGTTATCCTTTAACGAAATAACATGTAATAACGAAAAACTAGACAACCTTTGATCTTCTTGGCAGAAAATATGGAAACCTGATCTACACATCGTTACATCAACATATGCTTGACTCAAACATTTGATTATTTGATAAAATGTGTGTAAAGGAAATAAATGTGAACGTTTTACAACTTCAATATATGGCCAATATTTAAACAATAATTACACTTACTTCCCACTGTTCAGAAGTAGTACCTTCATACGTTCCCGCATATTCCATCCCATCATCCCATAAAACTTTAATAAGTGATCCTTTTTCTGGAGGTCCATCTTTGAACCAATTAACATTCTAAAAGTGAAGAGAAGATTAGATTCATTACTGCCTTTAAAAACACTAATTTTATTCAATAATAAGAACTGGTACGTATGAATTATTAAGAATACTCATTAACATTCACAATAATTTGTGAACTACTCTAATAATCGCAACGTATAAAAGTATATAAAATTAAAGGTTAAAAAGTGTTCCTACTGTCAAATACTCTGGTGGTGTATCTGATGAGAAGGTTCCATCGGGAAACGAAATACGGCAGTATAGAGGAGTTACTCGTCGGATAGCAATAGCGGATGAAAATATAGGATCATTGGTTTCTTGTACCATTACTTCATCTCCTGGGGAAACGGAACCGTGATCGTGAAAATTTGGCTTTTTGTATTCAAAAGAGAAGCAAAAGATTAAATACGAATGAACACTTTTAAGTTAGTACAAAAAGTCATGATAGATTATTTGGAAAACAAGAATCTGTGATCATCAGTATAAAAAATTTAGTAGGAACTAAGAATGATTTAAAAACCAATACAAATCGTGTTGTATACATATATAAAGATTTAATCCGAATCCAAAAGATGGCTTGAATTACTGGAACATACAGCATATATACACAATACATCAAGGGATTACAACACAGAACCATGGATTTATTCAAGATCAAGTTCGATCACTCAAGCTCATACGCTTTAATCAATGCAAAATTTACAGACTTCCCTACCTCAGTCAGTCAGTAAGAACGTAGAATTTCGTACGTACGTAAATCAGTTCGAGCCGCCATACCACATTAGCACAGAGATGCAGTTGTCGATTCAAATCCCACAGTGGTAGAGGTAGTAAGAGTATAAGCAGTAATCGGAAAGATTAGGGTTTAAAGATGTTATTCAAGGAGTATAATCCAATGAAATAAATTTGGAAAGAGGAAAAAAGGGACATGAAGAATTCAGAAGATTAGAATTTGGGAGAACACAGAGAGTGGATGCACCTGCGCCATTGCAAACGATTTTGAGCCATGTCATTCAGGGTCTCTAACCATCGGTTGCTGTCATCTCGCGGTCCCCAACCAGGAAGTCTACACCTACCAACATGACTCAGTTCACTTGTCAGTGACTTCATGGACTTGTGCCATGTTTTGGTTTGGCCGCCCCTAGCTTTCTTCCAACCTACTCCTATACCACTGAACATCGCACATCGAGGCAGTCGGTCGTTGGGCATACGTAACACGTGTCCAAGCCATCTCAACTGATGAAGTTTCACTACTTCATCAATTGATTTGCCATCCTTACCTAGTACCCGTTTCCTAACAACTGCCTTACTTACTCGGTGGTCCCATGATATACGAGCAATGTTTCGAAGACACCTATGATCAAATACTAGTAACCTACGGATATCCTCTACTCTTACCGGCCATGTTTCACTGCCATAAAGTAGGACGGAACGAACTGCTGCGCAGTAAACACGTCCTTTGGTTGATAGACGGATATCTCGCCTACGCCATAAATGACGCAAGTTGGTAAAAGCTAGTCGAGCCTTCTGTATCCGTGCTGAGATTTCGTCACACACTAAACCACAAGGGCTGATGAGACTTCCAAGATAAGTGAAGCGGTCAACACACTCAACTACTTCAATCCCTATCATTAGTTCGGGTGTCGATGTAACCCAATCCTGAAGCAACATTTTGCATTTCGAGGGAGAGAATCGCATCCCGAACATGCTTGCATTGTTGCTTAGAGTGGTCAGAAGACTCTGCATTTTATCAGCGCCTTCACCAAATAAAACTATGTCATCTGCATATTCTAAGTCAACAAGTGAACCTCCCGGTAGAAGTTCAACCCCTGGAAATTTAGATGAGGAGAGTGTTATCTCTAAAAGTACGTCAATGACAAAGTTGAACAAGAATGGGGAGAGTGGACAACCCTGACGAACACCACTTGAGGTAATCAATTTCGATGACAGTTCGCCATAAGCTCTCACTCTACCAGTTGTGTTCGAGTAGAGAGCCTTTATAAGGTTAATGTACTTCTTTGGTACTCCTTTCAGTGACAAACACTGCCATAGAACCTCACGATCAATAGAGTCGAATGCCGCCTTAAGGTCGAGAAATACTACCATTGTGGGGCGTCTGAATGTGTGTCTGTGTTCTAGAACCTGACGTAGTGTGAATATGTGGTCTATACAACCACGTCCAGGTCGAAAACCAGCCTGATTTTCTCTAGTCTACTCTTCACGAACTTTAGTTATGCGTCAAAGTATTATTGAAGCTAATATTTTAGACACTATATTAGTCAAACTGATTCCTCTGTGATTGTCACAAGAGGACTTTTGTCCTTTCTTAAAAACTGGCACAATCAGTGATTGAGACCAGTCAGATGGAATTACGTCCAGTCCCCAAATTCTACCTAAGACCTCGGTTAATCTCACTGCTAATACTGGACCACCATCCTTAAAAATCTCAGGAGTAAACCTGTCAGGGCCTGCTGCTCTCCCTCGCTTCAGATTTCCTATGGCTTTTTCAACTTCGTAAAGGGACGGAGGACCTACACTAACTTGCCATTCAGGTTGACTGGAGATCGTGGGAAACCGAAGTGTGGCTGAAGGCCAGTTGAACTGATCCCTAAAGTGTTCTGCCCATCGATCCAATCTCCTGGATTGAGAATGAATAATATGTCCATCTTTCTCTGAGAGTGTTTCGCTAACGGTCGGGTTCCTAATTCCGGTTTCCTTAACGAGTCTAAACAATTGTCTGCTATTACCTATTGCCGCTGCCTTTTCCATCTCTCTTGCTTTCGCTACCCACCACTGTTCGCGATCATGGCGTAGACTTCTTGTCAGCTTGCGCTTAAGCTGACTCCGCTCTTCATTATGTTCAGAGCCAGGTGGAATGTGTTTCCGAGCATTTATCAGTGAGATAGTTGCTGCTGAGATCCAGTGTTGCTCCCTAACCTTCTGGTTTACCTTACTAGCAGATATCACTGCTGTTTCCACAGCTTTTCGGATATCATTCCATGCTGCATCGGGGTGGGCATCACATACATGGCTGCCTAACTGTTTTCCTAGTTGTTCCTGAAATATACTCTTAGCTTGACTATCATTAAGTAGGCCCCTAAGAGGTTTCCTTGCAGCGTCTTTCCTACGTCCAGTAAGACGCAAGCAAATACGCGCTCGCACTAGAGCATGATCTGAATCTAGGCATGTGCTCCAGAATGAGCGACAGTCTTCTATCGAGCCCCTCCATCGGTGGCTGATAGCGATGTGATCTATTTGGGTCCAACGTTGGGACGAATTAGGGGGTCGCCATGTTAAAAGATGTTTTTCCTTATGCTTAAAGTTAGTATTTGCACGGAACAGGCGGTTATCTGAGCATAGCTGCAACAGACGGTCGCCATTATCTGTTCTTTGAGCCACGACACCATAGGATCCACCTAGGTGTCTTTCCCTATCGCTTAGTTTACCTACTTGAGCATTAAAGTCACCGGCCATTATTATTACACCCGAGCGCCTAGCTTTTCGGAAAAGGTCGGAGAGCTTTCCGTAAAACTCATTTTTTACATCATCTGCGCTGCAGTCAATGGAAGAATAGGCAGAGACGACGAAGAGGCAACGACGAGTGTCCCTATCTTTTCGGATTCTTACTGTTCCGTTTAGTCGGACAGCGCACAAACGACTGTCTACTGGCTTCTCTACCTCTCACTTTGTGTTGAAATTTGGTCATTGGTCATTACACCTAATAGGGCCAGTTCCTTCTAAAATAACCAATGATCAAATGTCTATGACATGTCACCTATCATAAATAAACAAACCTCACAGCTAAATAATAGAAGAATCATACTGCTGTACTCCAGAGGAGTTCCTCTACACGAGATGAAGTTATCTAACTCTTCATCCCACTTGTACTAATGTCAATGCAAGTATCCTTGCATCAAAGAGTTCAAAAAGGTACCAGGCATTATGTGAAAATCAAGAAATATAGTGAAGTATAGTGAATTTTGTCAAAAGTTATTTACTATATTTTGTTTTGACTGAATACCAAAAATAATGAGTATTGTATTGATAAATATAAACGCACAACGGACAATCTTACGTGATCGTAGTTAGTAGGATGTTTACTGCATGCGATATAAAAGAAACGAGGATATACATCAGTTCCAATAACAATACCAGCCATTTGAGCACAAGTAACATGAAACTGTGTAGAACAACCATTATGCCAGCAAGAAGCCAATGGAAGAAATCCTCTCCCAGGTAATTGACACACAAAACATATTGAAGGAAGAGATGATGCAATTTTGTCTCCAGTTTCAACTGGTATGTTAGTATTGTCAGAATGATGAACACTAGAAATCCCATTGTTATTATTCTGAATGAATGGTCTTATTTTTTTAAAATTAAAATCAATTGAAACTGTGGAAGTGGTGTTGAGTAGCTTTCGTGAAAAACGATTACTGTGAAATAAAAGAGGAGAAAAAAGGCAAGTCAAATATGTATTAGAACAGTCTTAAGGAACCAGACCTTTTCAAAGAAGAAATGTATTGATATATTTCTATCATTTACAATTTAATACTCATAGTTTTGTTATTTTTACTCATATATTATTATCAACAGTATTTGGTGTTTGAATAACTGAAGAGAAAAAACAAAACAAGTACACCTGCATATGCCCTACATAGGACAGAATCTGTTAACATTGATAACCAAGTGTCTGATGAAGCACTAAGATAAGCAGAGAAGGCGATTTTCGGGAAGAATATATTTGGTTGCATGTAAAGATAGCGTAACGTGAGAACAGAAGAAGCTACCCACGGTAGACCGTAACGTGATTTGGCGATGATGTTTGACCGAGAGCTAGTTGGTGTTTAGCAAAACGAAGATGGTCAGTGACGATCCTGAGTGTTCACAAGACCGATCCATTCTAAAATAGATGGAACATGGTTAGCAGTAAAGTTCGGGAGGCACATTTCGTTCTACTTGAATGTATCTGCATCCCAAAGTTGATGTCCGCCCTGCAATTCAAACCCAGTACCTTTAGCTTTAAACTCCAACGAGTTACCTACCCAGCTATTGAGTCTACATAGCCACAAACGTGTTCAACGGGTCCCAAATAGAATGAAACATGCGTTCTGGATTCCACTGCTAATCATATTCTATACACTTATATCATAATGGCTATATCGAGGCTCACAGAACTAACCTATGTCACTTAGGATTGATCGAATTTCAGTAAAAATATCAACAACCAGATAACACAAACCTTTACAAAAAAATATGTTAAGGAGTTAGTTACCATAAAACAACAAACCTAAGTAATTATCTCATGAAAGAAAACTTACTTCGATTTGTTTAATCGACGTATTTTACTTCTCTGATCAGGTGATTCATAATATTCTCGTAAAATTTTGTTATCAATATTAGGTGGTCTCTTACGCACTAATTTCAAATTCTTCTGTAAATAACTTGAAGATTTGAAGGGAACAGTCTCAGAGAAGCAACTTGGCGAACTGATATTTTGCATTTCATTAATCACACGTTTATTACTTTCGCTGGAATATAATATGGCTGAAGACATAGCTGATTTGATCGTGTCTTCAGAAATAAATGCCAATCGTTTAGGCACATCTTCAAAATAGCAACCTGGAGTAATTAGTGCACAAACTAAATGTGCCCAGTAAGGTCGTCCAGTAAATGCATTATTTATGTTGGCTAGTGCTTTAATAGCTCCTCCGCGCATATAACAGAATACACACGTCTGTAAAATAATCAGATGCAAATAAACAATGTTATATATATATGACTGTCTGAGCTAAAATGAATCTGTGTATATAATAAGGTAAAAGTAACTCACAAATGTACACCCTAATTGAACATTTTGGCAAAACCATCTGATAAAAATGGACCTCATAAGACTATTTACAAGAATACAACCGATGAATAAATATATTTTTTTGTTTCATAATTAAGATCACGGGGCAATCTTACCTAAACAACCATTAAGAACTATGAAGAATTGGACAGTCGTCTCGACTACGTGTAGGACTCCTTAGCGATGAGCATTAACGACCTCACCGAGCATCAAACTCAGGACCTTCGGTTTCGTGTGCGAACGTTTAACCTCCTATAACTTCAAATTAACTTAAGTAGCTCTTGATAAGCTTTCGGGAAATCGTGAAATATTATGAGAATTAACATGAATAATATCAAAAATCGTTTAAAATGTCGAAGTTTTGAGTATTAAACAAACCAAACATATGGATGGGAAATTTTTTTTCCAGAAATCTCGGAAAATTGAATAACAGTTAATGAAAAAACTATTAAATAAACTTCATAATCAAGATGAAAAACGAATATACTATAATTTGTGTGTGATTTTACAATTTATCATTAATCCACATAACCAATAATTCACGTGAATAGTATTTATTCTTTGAACTATATAACTGATACCTATGCTATAATGAAACTTTAAAACAATAATAACAATATATAAATGAATAAGCATTTGCTTATTATATTTTCATTATTTACAATGGAAAAATCGACAATAACGGTGCAATAGACTAAGATAATTAAATCTGCATGACAATTCTTGTATGCAATTACTTGCTTAATATGAATAAACCAGTTTGCTAATAAATTGTACATCTTAATAAGTCATAAGAACGATTGCTTTTTATCAACATCTATTATGAAACTATTCTAACTCTCGATTGTAAAGATATAGAATGAACTGTCTTTAGTTTCATAAAAGCAATTTTTTCTAGAGATAATTCCCGGAATTTACTTACGCTGCGTGTGAGGAAGATACCCATCAATGACATTAGGAGATGGACGCTAAATAATGCGAATTTGATTTACGTTAGACATATACACCATTGGATCCAAACTCAGTTGTGTTAAGGCAAATCACTCTCTGTAAGACATTAAGGTTTTGGGTTCGATCACTGAAGATGTCCACTAATGAGGAATCTCATACTATAACAAAACAGTTGTCTAGTGTTTACATGTTTTCAGTGGTTGTTTGACACAGAAAAATTTGTAATATAAACTGCACGATGCTATATTGTATAGCAGTGAATGCTAATAACGAAATATCGGTCAAGTTGCATTATACAACCACTACCCTAACTGACTTGATGTTGCGTTATATTTTGCTTTGACGTCAAGCAATTGGAGAAGATTAACAGAAAGCCGTAGAACTAAACTCAAAGTTCTTTAGCACTACTAATTATTTAGTCGTATATTTACAATTTTGACATAACTGGTGACGATTATATGTGATATGGACCCGATTCCATTAATTTTTTAGTCCGAAATATTCCCATGGAGTCATTGGTGTATGTGTTGAAGATAAAATACCCCTCTTCATAACATATACACTCGGCAGGTTGATCATACTAAACATCTTGTTGGACATTATTTTATCAAGCTATTGAACGGATATAAAAGAGGGATAGTTCATAATACAGCTTACGCATAATTGAGAACATAATCGAATGGCCTAGCAACACTTCATTTAACCTTATTCTAGATCACACACTTTATTTACTGAAGCATGCTTCAACTAAAAACATGGAAACCATCTGTACTACTAATATCTCGTAACGGCCAATCATCCTCAAAAGAGAAAAATATAAGAATACGTAGTTGCTACTGGTTCTTTTATCGCTGGCATATCAAAGTTTAATACTGCATTAAACGAGGTAAATTATAGAATGTCTGGGTTAAAAGTTGATATTAACACTTTAGGATGAATTTTACTTTAAGTCTGTAGAATCGCATCCTGGGATAAAGATAAATATCGATTAGCCACTTGAAAAATAAGACTTGAAGTATCTGGAGGTATTATTCTTGCAAAGATGGTTTAATGAAATAGTACAGCACGGTTGAATGGTACACTATGTTATGACAAAAATAGTACATATTATTAATAACAGAATCACATTTTTGTCACAGTTTATAATCATTTCATTCATCATGACAACGATACGATTACAATACGTAATTTATAAGACATTAAATGACATTATTAACTTACGGGTTTTGAACTCGCCATACAAGCATCGCAATACCAGGATCTTTTAAAGTTCAGATTATGTTTTTGTTCTAATGAAGACTCATATTTAAATCCAAGTTCATCTTGAACACCATAACATCTAGCATGTACAGTTAAGCAACAACGAAAACACCTGAGTATACGACTTTTAACTGTCGGAGGAAACTGTACAGAAGAATTATAGCTGCGATATGCAACTTCGGGAATGTGTGGTTCTGAGTATAAAGGTAATTTGTCTTCTCGATGTCCACTAGATAAAAGCTTAGAAACATGCTAAAATGATAGATGACAAAAGTGATAAGTAGATTGTATTTTCCTAAACTAAGAGTAAAGTAATGGGTCAAGTCTGAAATACAATTTGATAGTTCTCATACATCTAGAACAACTTAATAGTATTGTTGACCATAACACGATAGCCATGGTACAAAAAATTTCTACCTAGATATAATTAGAGAACGATAATGAATAGCTGAGACACACACGTTGGTGGATCAGATTATTACGTGAGTGTTCAAAAAGTATAGTCGGATCAGTAGAATATGAGAGATTATTATCTTGAATTAACCTAACAGATTTACTCTGTTAAAACAAGTAAACACACTAAGAGCTATCAAGAAAAAATATTGATACACGTCAGTAGTTCGACAAGGCCTCAAGTATTTTACGTTAGAAACGGCCATTTAAAATTAAATACAAAATTACCCACCTGTTATTGATGTTAGTAAGTGAATTTTGATCAGTTTCTTTTTTGCATGTGCATCCTGAGCGGATTACCTTGATACTGCCATCACGTCACAACTTTTCAAGTTGAGTAGTGGCTAGCAGTAGGGTTCAGAAAGTGGATTTTGTCGTGTTTGGGACTCATCAGCTAGATGTACATGCATTTCAGTGTTGATGTTCGTACTGAGGCTCGAACCTAGTATCTTTCACTTTAGACGCCCAATACCTTATCCACTGAATTAATAAGTTCAGACAGTTACTTGTCTGTGCAACTGGAATGAATTTTACTATTAATTTGTAAGGGTTCGCATCTTCTCAGATAGGAAGAAACATGCGTCCTGGTTTACAATCCAAGCCACTATTCAACCTTACTTAAAAACTTGTATTTCTTATGTTCAAGTTTATATAACACTCGATATTAATTAACATCCCATGTTTTTTATTCCATTTATTTATTTCCTCTATGATGATGTGAAATGTGGCAACTGCATCTTAACCTCCTCTACATAAAAGTCTTATTTTACCAACACTTAGGCAACCACCAAAAGTACTGATTTCATATAGATCCCAAATTTACAAAGGTTTACCGATAAAAGAGTGCTAAGATTTGTTCACCTGAGGAGTCCACAAAAATGAGCAAACAGCACAATATGGTTTATGACTTCCAATGAAAATGTTGAAATTTCGTTCAATCTGTTCATTAGCTGGATTTCCACACCACAGAGGGTACAAGCGAGGGTTAGTAGCGATATGAAAAGGAATTTTGGCCGTTTCGAACTCTAAAATTAGAGGTAAATATATCAGGAAAGTAAATAGCAAACGAATATATGACAAAGAAATTGACAATAAATGAGTAAATATGAAGAACAAGAAAGTTACAAGAAGCGTAAATAAAAAGCATTAATGAGTACTCTAATGGAACTCAGTACACTCTACTAATCCAAGTCAACCACTCCGTTTCAAGCGACATAATAACCTGGTACTTATGTTCATCGGCCTAAATTGCAGCTCCATAAAAGCACATGAAGATGGAATTATCAAGACGGATACAAGACCAGTAGATGAAGTATGTGGTGGTAAAAGAGAATCGGATAAATTTCGAACACATAGTTTCCTTTATCATCTTGAAGAGAGCATGAACAAAGATTTGATCATAATAGCATGAGTTCGTTTTATTTCGTTTGGTTGTCGTCAGCTGCTTACAATCTATGATATGTAAAGATCATAATTACAAAATGAGTCTGAATCGCTACATGAAAGATTCTAGTTGGAAGTTGCTTTAAAGACACATAAGTATAGTGTATCAAGGGTGTAAATAAACTTAAGACTGAATAAAACATTACACCTCATATAAAAGAACCTTCTACGACAATTATAGTAATCAAAGATCCAAAGGGCTGAAAACAAGTGGTTACGTAAAGAGTAAACACCGTTTTTCATGCTATTTGTAAAATCTCTGCGATCATGCAAACCCTCGCATTCTCTTAAGAACCTCTGAAGTATAACCAAATCACACATTGGATGGACGAAATGACTTATAACACAACTGAAAACTGAGGCCAATGCTTTCGATAAAGTGGTCAATGATTTATATATCGCATGTTAGATAAAATCCATCAGCCTTATCCACGACCTTCAAATCAAGGTTTGCAAGAACTTCCACAAATCTCTCTCGAAAACTCAGATGAAGGAACAACTAAATTTATGGCTCTCGGAAAACCCTCCGAAGTTTATTTATAATTAATTGAATACAAAGCTTAATAATATAGAAACATAAGCCTTATTACTGGGACTCAAATCTCACAAGTACTGACAGGATCGATACAGAGCCTTAATTTGAAAATTTATTTGACTAGCTAAAAGATCTAAATCCAATAAATGAGGGAAAGAAGGGCTGGTTCAATTCAGAGTCAGTTGATATTGCCAACCAATATTTCACTTCGAGACCAAAGTCGGATATTCTATCCAAAGAGCATCTGACAACTTTAGGAAATATTAAACCAAACGACAAGGTAATGATCATACGAAGAGATTAAGGTTAGGGTGTCGTTTTAATAAACACAACTCAGTATACCACTAAAATGACGTCAATCCTAGACGACCAATTGAGGTTCAAGGCAAATAAAGACAACAATGATTTAACTAACTCAACAGAAAAACGAATGACAGGCATGCTTAGAGAACTTCTAAGAAGAAAATGATTTCTAATTCTGCCTACCATGATCTACGACATCGTGGCTCATGCCTGGCTCACATAAATGGTCCACCAAAGGTGCACAAAACATGATATTCTGTGAATCATTAATTCGCCGTATCACAAAGTTGCACGCTGGTTAGTAGATAAGCTAGAACCCGTCCGCTAAAGATATACGTTAAGAAATTCATTTCAATTTGCTGACAGACTAAATCATATGAATGTTACTGGTAAGTCCATGGTTTCTTTTAATGTAAAATCCTTGTTCACCAAAATAGCACTTCCTGGAATTATTGATAATAATTTGCAGAATTCTGATCTACCTTTACCAGAACCAGAATCTAAAAAAATACTACTTATGTGAACAAATATGTCAAATTTCAGTTCAATGGCGCTATATACCGTCAAAGTGGTGTAGCAATGGGAAGTCTATTATATCCAATTATGGCAAACATTTTTATGGATTATCTTGAAAACACAGAGCTTAAACAAACGATTAGCGAAACGATGGAATACTCCGGATATGTTGATGACACATTGTCTGCAACAGTAAACACCGTGCAGTTCACCTGTTAGAACTCTTTAACAATGCTCATCTCAACACAGTTTACTACGGAACACGAGAAAAATGATATGTTCTACTTTCTTGACATTGCCATACAACGGAAGAGAGAAGGCACAGTTCAACGTTCGGTTCATGAACGTTTCAAAAGGCCTTTGAACAAGAGAGAGAAGTACTTTAAACAATGCAGTTACCAAACATCTCTTGCATACAGGACATTAGGTAGATACCGTACAATCCCTCAAAGTGGTTAATAACCGGTCAAGTTCCAGTCTTCCAAAGTTAGCGGAAGATGCTGTAATCAGGTGTTAGAAACCTAATTCATGTGCTTAAGGGGAGATGGTTGTTAATCTTCTCTTGCCTTGGTGACAAATACTTGTTTTACGTGCGCTTATCCGGGGACCCTGTGGCATCTTCGCCTGGACTCGCTGGCGTTGGTGTCGCACTAAGCGCTAGAGCTGAGGCAGCACTAGTCGATTGGATCCCCATTAACAGTCATTTATGTGCTGTTAGATTAGAAAGTTCCATCCAAGTGAGAAGAAATCGGCGTGAGAAACGATGTCTTTTCGTCATCTCCGCTTATGCCCCGACAGATTGCAGACCGGATGCAATCAAGGATGAGTTTTACCACCAGTTATCTGTTCTTCTCCAGAAAGTGCGTTCGACAGATATTGTAGTACTAGCCGGAGACTTGAATGCTCAGGTCGGACGTCTAGGCACAACAGAGAGTCGTCTAGGTGGCCAATGGGGACTTGTTGGTCGCAGGACAGATAACGGGGACCGTCTACTGCAACTATGCACAGACCACAACCTGTTTCTGGCTAGCACTAACTTTCGGCACAGTCATCGCCGATGTGCCACCTGGCGTCCTCCATCTGCATCCCAAGCCTGGACTCAGATTGATCACATCGCGATCAGCTACCGCTGGAGTGGTTGTGTACAAGACTTCCGCTCCTTTTGGACTAACTATCTAGACTCCGATCATGCCTAGGTCTGCACCAATCTTACCTTACTTTTCAGTGGACAACTAAGTGACCGCCATCAACGGATTGATATTAGCAAGCCGGTTGCAACTTCTGTTGCTAGTAAGTATCGAACCGAGCTAGCTTCTAGGCTGGCTGCCATTCCACCAAAAGGTAAAGATGAACATTGGCTGCAATTGCATGACGCCATGAAAACGGTGGGTACAGTCAGTTGTGGGTTCGCGAAACGTCCCGCTTATAAGCACTGGGTTTCTTCTGGTTCCTTACAACTCATCGAAGCCCGTCGGTCTACTCCGGGTGACCGTGAGTTTAACCACAAACGAAGGCTGTTACGTAATGAGTCAGTCAGTAACAACGTAGAACTTCGTACGTACGTACATCAGTTCGAGTTGCCACACCACATTAGCACAGAGATGCAGTTGTCGATTCAAATCCCACAGTGGTAGAGGTAATAAGAGTATAAGCAGTAATCGGGAAGATTAGGGTTTGGAGATGTTATTTATAGAGTATAATCCAGTGAAAGAACTTTGGAAAGAGGAAAAAAGGGACATGAAGAATTCAGAAGATTAGAATTTGGGAGAACACAGAGAGTGGATGCACCTGCGCCATTGCAAACGATTTTGAGCCATGTCATTCAGGGTCTCTAACCATCGGTTGCTGTCATCTCGCGGTCCCCAACCAGGAAGTCTACACCTACCAACATGACTCAGTTCACTTGTCAGTGACTTCATGGACTTGTGCCATGTTTTGGTTTGGCCGCCCCTAGCTTTCTTCCAACCTACTCCTATACCACTGAACATCGCACATCGAGGCAGTCGGTCGTTGGGCATACGTAACACGTGTCCAAGCCATCTCAACTGATGAAGTTTCACTACTTCATCAATTGATTTGCCATCCTTACCTAGTACCCGTTTCCTAACAACTGCCTTACTTACTCGGTGGTCCCATGATATACGAGCAATGTTTCGAAGACACCTATGATCAAATACTAGTAACCTACGGATATCCTCTACTCTTACCGGCCATGTTTCACTGCCATAAAGTAGGACGGAACGAACTGCTGCGCAGTAAACACGTCCTTTGGTTGATAGACGGATATCTCGCCTACGCCATAAATGACGCAAGTTGGTAAAAGCTAGTCGAGCCTTCTGTATCCGTGCTGAGATTTCGTCACACACTAAACCACAAGGGCTGATGAGACTTCCAAGATAAGTGAAGCGGTCAACACACTCAACTACTTCAATCCCTATCATTAGTTCGGGTGTCGATGTAACCCAATCCTGAAGCAACATTTTGCATTTCGAGGGAGAGAATCGCATCCCGAACATGCTTGCATTGTTGCTTAGAGTGGTCAGAAGACTCTGCATTTTATCAGCGCCTTCACCAAATAAAACTATGTCATCTGCATATTCTAAGTCAACAAGTGAACCTCCCGGTAGAAGTTCAACCCCTGGAAATTTAGATGAGGAGAGTGTTATCTCTAAAAGTACGTCAATGACAAAGTTGAACAAGAATGGGGAGAGTGGACAACCCTGACGAACACCACTTGAGGTAATCAATTTCGATGACAGTTCGCCATAAGCTCTCACTCTACCAGTTGTGTTCGAGTAGAGAGCCTTTATAAGGTTAATGTACTTCTTTGGTACTCCTTTCAGTGACAAACACTGCCATAGAACCTCACGATCAATAGAGTCGAATGCCGCCTTAAGGTCGAGAAATACTACCATTGTGGGGCGTCTGAATGTGTGTCTGTGTTCTAGAACCTGACGTAGTGTGAATATGTGGTCTATACAACCACGTCCAGGTCGAAAACCAGCCTGATTTTCTCTAGTCTACTCTTCACGAACTTTAGTTATGCGTCAAAGTATTATTGAAGCTAATATTTTAGACACTATATTAGTCAAACTGATTCCTCTGTGATTGTCACAAGAGGACTTTTGTCCTTTCTTAAAAACTGGCACAATCAGTGATTGAGACCAGTCAGATGGAATTACGTCCAGTCCCCAAATTCTACCTAAGACCTCGGTTAATCTCACTGCTAATACTGGACCACCATCCTTAAAAATCTCAGGAGTAAACCTGTCAGGGCCTGCTGCTCTCCCTCGCTTCAGATTTCCTATGGCTTTTTCAACTTCGTAAAGGGACGGAGGACCTACACTAACTTGCCATTCAGGTTGACTGGAGATCGTGGGAAACCGAAGTGTGGCTGAAGGCCAGTTGAACTGATCCCTAAAGTGTTCTGCCCATCGATCCAATCTCCTGGATTGAGAATGAATAATATGTCCATCTTTCTCTGAGAGTGTTTCGCTAACGGTCGGGTTCCTAATTCCGGTTTCCTTAACGAGTCTAAACAATTGTCTGCTATTACCTATTGCCGCTGCCTTTTCCATCTCTCTTGCTTTCGCTACCCACCACTGTTCGCGATCATGGCGTAGACTTCTTGTCAGCTTGCGCTTAAGCTGACTCCGCTCTTCATTATGTTCAGAGCCAGGTGGAATGTGTTTCCGAGCATTTATCAGTGAGATAGTTGCTGCTGAGATCCAGTGTTGCTCCCTAACCTTCTGGTTTACCTTACTAGCAGATATCACTGCTGTTTCCACAGCTTTTCGGATATCATTCCATGCTGCATCGGGGTGGGCATCACATACATGGCTGCCTAACTGTTTTCCTAGTTGTTCCTGAAATATACTCTTAGCTTGACTATCATTAAGTAGGCCCCTAAGAGGTTTCCTTGCAGCGTCTTTCCTACGTCCAGTAAGACGCAAGCAAATACGCGCTCGCACTAGAGCATGATCTGAATCTAGGCATGTGCTCCAGAATGAGCGACAGTCTTCTATCGAGCCCCTCCATCGGTGGCTGATAGCGATGTGATCTATTTGGGTCCAACGTTGGGACGAATTAGGGGGTCGCCATGTTAAAAGATGTTTTTCCTTATGCTTAAAGTTAGTATTTGCACGGAACAGGCGGTTATCTGAGCATAGCTGCAACAGACGGTCGCCATTATCTGTTCTTTGAGCCACGACACCATAGGATCCACCTAGGTGTCTTTCCCTATCGCTTAGTTTACCTACTTGAGCATTAAAGTCACCGGCCACTATTACTACATCCGAGCGCTTAGCTTTTCGGAGAAGGTCCGAAAGCTTTCTGTAAAACTCATCTTTTACATCATCTGAGCTACAGTCAGTGGGAGAATAGGCAGAGACGACGAAGAGGCAACGACGAGTGTCCCTATCTTTCCGGATTGTTACTGTTCCGTTCAGTCGGACAGCGCACAAACGACTGTTTACTGGGATCCACTCTAAGAGAGCTAGTTCTGCCCTAGGACTCAATGCTATACCTACGCCGGCGAAGCCACGGGAAGCAGAATCAGGGCTTCCAGATACACGAAGCGTAAATCGAGTCGGTTCTTTATTCTGGCATGGTGAGGTCAAATGAATGACGCTACTCGGATCCTGTATGCGCGTTTCGGAGACGCAGCACACATCGATGGCGCGAGATTCTAAAGTTTTAGCTAAGGAAGCCTGCTGTCCTATTTGGCAAAGTGTTCGTACGTTAAAAGCTCCTACGTGTAGTTTAGAGCGTGGTTTCAGGAGACCAGGAATGGCGTTCCACGTACTCGAATCGTTTGCCCTAGCGGTGCGAGGTGATAAAGAGACGTGAGGAGGGTTAGTCGGGAGGATAAGAGAGGTATTAGGAGGTGTAGGAAGGATTTGAATGTGACCACCTTGGTCTCTTGTGCTGTTACGGGTATGAGGGCTGATGTCACTTCCCGGCTGCCCACACCGTGGAAGGGTATTTCTTGAGGAACCTGAAAAGGAAATTGGATTAGTGTTGGTCTTGACGACCTGGGAGCGTGACCGCAGAGCCCAAGGGTCAACTGCTTGAGGCCGGTCGCGCACGGCCTTTTTGTGAAAGGTTTTTGACGTGCTAGCTCCGTTCTTCAAAAGGCCTTACCGCCGGAGACGGAAATCCGTGAGGTAAGGTGAGGTGTGCATTTTTAGGGTCGACCTTTTCTAACCCCACCCCTCCTTGTGGGAAGGCAGCATCGCTGTCATGCTGGTTGTCCGAGGGAAACACCTTACTGCTGTCACACCTCTCTACAGTCAGCAGTTCGACTTCGCCCTCAGACCTTGAGTTGCTGCTTTTAGTCTTACCGTTCGCCAATCGACCTGCCTGGCATGGTAGAACCTGCAGGAACATATGTTCCAGCCAATATAGCTCGGTTAGGTCATCACGATAGGCAAGCCCGACCACCGCGTCAAGGTAGCAGCTTCGATCGGGGTTACGTAATGAAACCAGGCAAAGCTTGCGTAAGGACCGAGAAGCCTGGTGGTCAGAGCATGCTAATGAGCTGGAAGCAGCAGCTGCATCTGGTAATTACCGGAAGCCCTTCCAACTCATCCGAGCCACTGGCAGCAAGAAGTCTGGTGGGAGCGGAACAATCTGCGAGGATGACGGAACGCCAATCACTAACATCCATCGACGTCTTGGACGATGGGCAGAATTTTTCGAAGGGCAGTTCAACTGACCTGCTGCTTCGGCAACATCGGTCAGACTGTCCTGCCCTCCATGGCCGGTGACGACTGATCCACCAAACGAGGAGGAAGTCCGCAAGGAACTCCAACTCTTGAAGCGTTACAAATCACCTGGCCCAGATGACTTACTTCCGGCTCTTTTTAAAGATGGTAGTGACTTTCTGACTAAGGAATTGACGACGTTGTTTGCAAAGGTCTGGGGGCTAGACAGTGTACCAACGTCATGGAATGATTCAATAATTGTCCCTATCTTTAAAAAGGGCTCACATCGTTCCTGTAACAACTATCGGGGGATAAGTCTACTTCCGATTGCGTCCAAGCTATTGGCTTCCGTCATACTTCATAGGTTGTTCGAAACCCGAGAAAGATTGACTCGCGAGGAGCAGGCTGGTTTTCGTTCCGGTCGAGGATGTATTGATCATATCTTCACCCTCCACCAAATGTTAGAACACCGTCATACTTATCACAGGCCAACAGGGCTGTTCTCTGGAATTGTCTATTGAAGAAGGGTGTGCCTGATAAGTTTATTAACATCCTAAAAGCCCTATATACAAACACCTCAGGCAGAGTGAGGGCATACAACCACCTCTCTCCATTGTTCCATTCAAGCAGTGGGGTTAGACAGGGTTGCCCGATCTCACCATTCCTCTTCAACTTTGCCATCGATGACATTCTGGAAACAGCTCTGATGGATGTAAGTAATGGTGGTGTGGATCTGTTGCCTGAAGAAAGACTTCTCGACTTTGAGTATGCGGATGATATTGTCTTACTGGGCGATAATGCCCAAGGCATGCAATCCACACTTAATCAGTTGGCAATCAGTGTCCGTAGGTACGGTATGTGCTTTGCACCTTCGAAGTGCAAAGTACTTCTACAGGACTGGCAGGGTTCCAATCCTGTACTCACTCTGGATGGTGGGCAGTTAAAAGTATTCGAGAAGTTCGTGTATCTAGGTAGCTGCATAAGTGCTGGTGGGGGTGAAAGTGATGAGATCAATGCACGTATAGTGAAAGCCAGAGCGGCTTATACCAATCTGGGCCACCTTTGGCGCCTTCGTGATGTTAATCCGGCTGTAAAAGGTCGGATCTACAACGCGTCGGTGAGAGCAGTTTTGCTCCATGCTTGTGAAACCTGGCCTCTCTGAGTTGAGGACGTTAGACGACTCTCTGTGTTCGATTATCGCTGTCTCCGGAGGATTGCTGACATCCAGTGGCGACACCATGTTAGTAATGCAGAGGTTAGGCGTCGTGTGTTCGGGCACAGAGATGATAAGGCAATCGGTGTCACCATCTTGAAACATCGACTTCGGTGGCTTGGACATGTTCTACGAATGTCGTCCCATAGAATCCCACGTCGTGCATTATTTGCCGACTCTGGGACTGATTGGAAGAAGCGGAGGTGGTCAGTGCATGACATGGTGTCGTGGCATGAAAGAAAGCTGCAAAGGGCTGACTTCTGTTGGTCCTTCACGACTCCCTGGTTGGGGTCCGAGAGATGGTGCGACACAGTGGCTAGAGACGTTATCAGATATGGCTTAGAATAGAAGCTAGTGGCGATCCTGCTGTAACCTTCTTTTACTTTCTTCATAAAAAATGGTTGTGCCTCCCTTAACTGAAATATTTCTTCTGATTGTACCTTTCCGTTCCTTCATTACTATAATACCTTACACCAATCTCTTCGTTATCGTTCTTTTTTCACGCTCCTTACCTTTTTTTCTCTTTGAGTTCTCATTGTTTTGTGTGGCACGTATATATTGGCGCTCTCTTGTACCAATATTTGTGTTCAAATAAAATGAAATAATAAAATAAATTATATAATCGTGTCTTTATTTCTTATATATATATATATATATATATATATATATATATATATATATATATATATATATATATATATATATATATATATATATATATATATGATGTTTTAACTGCCCTCGTTATATTCGTTAAGATTTCTCGGCTTTCCAATAATACTATATCCCTGTTACGTTACTGTATGCCACATAACTCGTGGTTTTTATAATGTATGCTATTTACCGTCGAAATTAACAAGCAAATACAGTTAAAATATTGTAAAATCTTTTTGAAAGTTAGTAAATGCATACAACAAAATAAAGTAGCCAATATATAAAATTCAACCAGAAAAACCTACGTTTTGAGGAATACCGCAGATCAATAGAGTTCAGATCGCCAACTTTGGGAGGCGGTGAATCAGAAGAGTAAGGTTTAAAAAGAGAAGGGTCTTTGGCCATAACCTCATTGTTCTCGATACCCAATATATCCTTGGCACTGTCTAAAGGCTAGATAATCTTCAGTAAACTAACCTGGATATGTGAGTGTGCTCTCAACATGATGACTTGTTTCCTTTGGCAGATATTCATCGAGAGGATGTGGTGGTAGGTTTTTTCCATTTTTCCAATCATTAAATAACTCGGGCTGAAATCTTCGCACAAAAGGATCCATACATATTTTAACTGTGTCATCCCAACAGGTACATATTTTCGCATGTTTTCCGTACTCTATCCACCTAGTAAGTGCAAAATTTGTTGATTCAGCAATGTTTAAACCCATATTGAAGCCGGAATGATAAGCATAAGGAAAAGTTATCATAAATTCACCTTCGTGTTGTAAAATCTAGGAATATATGAGATTGGAAGTGTATCTTACTTTCTTAGTTGGGATTCCAGATTGGGAAAGAACTGTAGGACTAATTAAAACGCATTTATGCCTTAAGAAACAATGACATTTCAAGAATTCCGACCTAAAATATTCTTAAAGACAATTAGCTTTTAAAAAATGCGTACCGGAAACAAAGGATTCAAATTTACGCGCAAAAGCTGGAGGTATGACGTACCAGCACTTTGGAAGACCGTAATGCAGGTAGTTTATAGAGTATAAGTCTACATCTTCAACATGCCACGGAAACGTAGATCGCCACATTCCATAATACAAATATGGAGTATTCACACCTGGTATTTGTACACCCTCTTCTTCGAAAACCCGACTTAGTACTGAGTCGAGTTTTGCAATGTTCCAAATATGCTGATCAATATCCATCAAAGTTCCACTGACATTAGCCCCATACAGTGGACGACTTGTGCCTATCGACGACCAGTATTTTCTTTCAAGGTGATCGTAATCCCTGTACTTAGGGGTGCAATATATACTTGATAAAGCAATATTTTTAAAGTCACTGAATTTGAGACTTTTTCTGGGTGAAATATCCTACACTGATTGTTGAGAAAATTAGTAAAACAGACCTGAAAATATATACCACGTCCACCATATGTGCTTTGACATATAGGTTTTTCTACCAAACATTCATCAATATTATCATAACCTTTGCGACGCCCAACCCAATTTGAAGGTGGTATTACTTTGCAAAGCCCTACATGATGAGCACCGAGGGACTCTATCATGGAAATACATTTGCTGAAGTCTTCAAATTCTGCAACCGTAGGTTTGTACACAGGTATTTCTGGAATTGTTGCTTGATTAAGAGTCTTAATTTTAACACAAAATGGCATTCATACGTACCTCTAACTTATCAATAAACGGAGTTTGCGCCAGGCCGTAATCTCGGTACATGACCTACGGGCTGACCTTATGTCAAATCCAGCTCCAAAAGATTCAAACGCGCGTGGGCGTATTAGAAGAAACTGTGTTATAGGCAGGAGGAAGGCTTTCCAAAAGTGCGTTTCAATCTTATCAAAGCAATTCGTTCTCTAAGGGCGCGTACTTGTTGTGATCATCTTTGCTTTTGTGTACTTGTTGCACCCAAAAGCATTATTGGTCTACTTTAACTCGAAGTATTTCGGTTAAGGTTTGAAATTTTGCTAAAAATTTGTTCTGTGGTGCCTTCTTTCTGAATGACCCTGGCACTTGTGTTCATATTGTGATTGTATTGTGTTTCAAACTTTATTAATTTGATAACAATGTTTGGCAGTACTTATAAATCCATACATCCAAATTGTTTATTCCTCGTGGAGGAAGGAATGCGATATGATGAGTGTAAAAAATGGTTTCATAAGATGTGCACACGTTTAAGTCCCACTGCATTTAAAAGATGCTCAGAGCTTAATTCGCATTAGCTTTGTATGTTTTGCCGTACGAATATGTATCTACATGATCTATTCAAACCACTACCTAATATCAAGAAATATATATAACCGTGTATGTTAAAAGACTGTATTCACTATTTTATGAACTATCATTTAAATCGTATTTGGGTACTATAAATCATTTAATTTCCGAAATTACCTGTCCAATTCGGTGAGTCTGTCATAGCTTTTTTTGACAGTATTTTTTTTCCAAAAAGCTGTTTTATATATTTGTTCATGAAGCAGCATAATAATCCTAGACGGTAATAATCTTCTAAACTACTTATCTCTGCACCTCCCAATTTTTAATAATACGGACTTTCAGTTTATATATGTATCACATACCGTACTCACTTTGATTGTTTGATACTAATTATCGACATTTCTAAATTACTTTACTATATAAGGCTATCTTTCGTGTCATATATATGTTAAAATGTATACAACTTGCTCCTTTATATTCTATTTTGCCTCCATACAGATACTGACATAAATACTTCATCTCCACTACTATCTTCCTGCCATTGTCATCTTTTGTTTTTGACACTACTAATCCTCACGATACATTCACTCTTGTTTAAAACATAGATTTTGATTTTTAGACTAACTTGAGCCCTCGGAATTGATTTTTTTTCATCCCTTTGTATTTCCAACATTCTGTTCAATCCACTTGCTATACGTCACTTTCTTATCATGCCACAAAAGAAAATGAAGACCCTTGCTTCTAGGCGTCCAGCCAAACGTAGGAAAACGACACAATTTAACACCACTACTGACACGATTTCCGACAGTTTCAACGAGACGAGCCACTCCGTTCATCCAGAATCAGACAAGCTTTTACCAGTTGTCTCCATTCCAGACATGTTGAAAACTCTGCTGGTAAACAGTGATGATAATCGCAACTGCGACCATATGGATGCTATAAAGAAGTTGCAAGTAGACATGAACATTCTCAATCCGCTTAAATATCTCATCAACCCCAACCTCACAGAGACTCCAGATCAAATGAATGACATAAATATTTTCCTAGATCGTGTTGCATCAGAGGTATTTGAAAGAATAAGACGATCTAGCAATGCAATTGTGTTTAACATACCGGATACACATGCCCTTAAAAATATCAAATCTAGTCTGCTTAGAGCCAGCAATATGACACACGTACCATGTGTATGCACAAGATTAAAAAGAAGTCATCCTGGTATGCACTCACCGATCTTGTTCGAATTCAACTCATCTGTAGACGCCAGTGAATTTTTAACTTCCTCCAATTCATTGAGACAAAAACAGATTTTCAAGGATATTAAGACTCTTCCGGATAAAACACCATGCCAGCGAAAAGCAGGAAGAGATAGCTACAGACCACCAGCGTCAAACTCTCAAACGCATCATAATCCTAATGGTTGTAAAGTTAAGTCCGATTCTAAGAGGACGTCTAGCTTTACAATTAGCAATGAGAAGACTTTTTTTGTAATTCCGCCGGCTTTCCTGCCGGCAACGGTAAATATATTTCACATGATGACAAAGTGGTTGAATCTATTTCCCCTCGCAACACAACTCTTACCTTAGCTAATCCTACGAGTATTCATGGAACTACCAATTGCGATTTATACTCTAACCTGCTTCACTATGATAACTCTTTCGTTCAATGCCCGCTCTCTGTCCAATAAAATTATTCATCTTAAAACTCTTTTATTCCTTGTAAATCCAACCATTGTACTTATTACGGAAACGTAGTGTAATTCATCTATATCCGATCATTCCTTGAATGTAGATAACTACGTTTTCTTTAGAACCAATAAATGTTATGGAATAGGAGGTGGTACAATTATCTATGTCCGTTCAGACATTCAAACATGCAGATTTGAGGATAAATCCCTTGATGCTATAGACGACTCCACTTGGGTTGCTGTAAACTGTGGATCCCAAAATTATTTACTGGTGGGATGCATATATAGACCACCTCATGCGGATACTAAGTTTGACAGATTACTAACAAACATCTTTTCCATTGCTTCGCACCAACCGCATACTTTTAAAATCATCGGAGGTGATTTTAATCTGCCAAAAATTACATGGGGCTCAACTCCGGTACCAGGTCGATATAACAAGCTAGTTGAAGCATTAGAAATTTGTGGATGGGTTCAACAGGTCCGAAAACCGACCAGGGGGAATAATACACTTGATTTGATGTTCACAATGAACACAGACTCTATTTCAGTGCATACCAGTCATGAGTTTTTTATGAGTGATCATAGAGTTGTATTGAGTATTATTCACTCTTTAAACGCCATACAATTGAACTCTAAAGCTTCAATGATGTACCAGAGCAGACATTTTGATCAACAAACATGGAAACGGACTGGAACTCTGATTCAATGTTTACCATGGGACACTTATTTTACCACAAATAATGTTGACATTGCGCTTTCCAATCTATACCACAACCTGATATATTGTCTCGACTGCACTGCTCCAGTTATTGGCCGTGTGGCTTATAATGCTAATAGGGGCCAAAATACTTCTAAAAGAAAGCTAAGGAAATTAAAATGCCGCAACTATGAGCAGAATGATGTGTATGCACTTCAGAGTATACTTAAATTAATCGACAGAAATGCTTCATCTAAACGTAAGTATTTCATGAATATAGAAAATAAAGCTCTACGTAGTAAAAGCCCAGAATTATCAATACTTCGACTTTTTAAATCCCGTGTAAAGTCAAATTCCCTTGGCACGACTAGTTTCTTCATAGTTAACGGAAGCATTGTCAACGACCCGAATACTATATGCGAACAATTCAGCAAGCACTTTTCGCAGTGCTACAAAACTGGAAGTGAAAACTCCATCATTACATTTCCAATGCTGACATCCAGACATCTGTCGAAAATTGATTTTACACACTCCAACATCAAGCAGGCCATAGCTGCCCTGAAAAAGTATTATGATGGTGGACCTGACGGGATACCTTCATCATTTGTGAAATATGGAAGTAGAGAATTTCCACTATTTTGTTTGAAACTTTTCAATCTATCTATGGAATATGGGACCTATCCATCTGTATGGAAAACATCCCTTATCACACCTAGATTCAAAACAGGACCACGTAGTGATATTATTAACTACAGGCCAATTAATTTGACATCCGTCAGTGATAATTCTTTACTTCGATTTTAGTACGGCGTTCGACAGTGTCTCATACAAACTTCTTTTAAAACTCTCTTCATTTGGCATACAGAATCCCCTTTTATCTTGGCTCAAATCTTTTTTAGAAGAACGTAGTCAAATTGTTCGCTTTGGATCTTGCTACTTTAAACCTGTGAATGTAACCAGTGGGGTTATACAAGGAAGTGTGGTTGACCCACTACTCTTTCTCCTTTTTATCAATGATGTTTTCCCTTTTTCAGTATGGTAAGCCTTTCCTTTTTGCTGATGACCTGAAAGTAGTTTATTCATTCTCTTCTCCCACGAAAGAAAGCTATATTTCAGCGGTAATCCAAGAGGAAATAAACAAGTTGTACGAATGGACTATTTCGTGGAATTTGCCACTTAATGTTGACAAAAGTGGATTTATTCACATTGGTCGCTGCCTTAACTTAAATCTGACTGTGCACACACATACACTCAAACCTCTCAACACTGTTCGTGACCTGGGTTTAAGATATAGCAATAGTCTGGACTTTTCTGAACACATTATATCACAAGTATCCAAAGCTAGAAAGCTCATCGGATTGATAATGATAAACTTCAATAATATCGAATCGAGATTGTTACTATACGGAAAATGTGTCTTGCCCATTCTTGAATATGGTATTTTAGTTTACAGTAATTGTAGACATAATGATCTGATTAGAATTGAAGGTGTTCAAAGAAAGTTCACCAAAGCTGTTCTGGGGTATTCCGATAACAAAGACTATCACCAAAGATGTCAACAACTCAACTTAGAACCTCTTTGGATCAGACGTATCAAATTAAATCTTGCCTTTATCTACCGGCTTATTAACGGTATTTCCTACTCTTCGGTATCCACCCCTTCATACCTTATGATATCAACCAGGTGGAACAGACTGCCAGTGAACCTCCGTTGCAGTGAAACTACAACCCGGTTCAGAAGTCTCCTTGATGATTTTCTTTCCGAACGTGGATTATTTCACCTATTGAATATCAATGTATTTAACAATGATTTATACAAACAAGGTCCGTCATCCATTTAATTGCCTGAAAAGCAAAATAAAACCTCTAAATCTTTTCACGTCTATTTTATTTTATTTTTATTTATCTTAATATATGAAGTCTGTTTATGTTCGTATCTATAATTATTACTGTTATTAATATCATTATTGTTACCCTGACACATTAGATATTCTTTTTGTATCTTCTTATCCTTCTTAACATATTTAATTCCTGACTGTCCTTTGAAATTAATGTATTCATCCGAGTGCATTAAAGGATTCTTATTTTATTTTACTAAATTGTTGGTTTCCTTCTGAGGTT